CACACACACACACAGGCTGCATAATAGCCCATCTTGATTCCAATAGAGTAATGTGTGTCTGAGCTAAAACATGCTGTCCTCTCTCTGTTACTGAGCTTTCTGATTACTCGACAAACACACTGCTGAAATATCAAATTTCATAGGGCAGATATCAACATGTTCTGGCCTAATGTACCGCAGGGACAATTCTATAAATCATTTTAAAGAAGACCATTTTTTTTATACAATCTGCCATAACACAAATAGATAGATGGATGGATAGATAGACAGACAGACAAATCTGTGAAACACAGTGTGTGTGGGACAGTGAGTGCACCCATCAGCACTTTCATGTGCATATCCCAGGCCTGTGAACGAGTCAGCGCAGGTTAATTGTACAAAGTGATGCAGATATGGCATATATTCTACGAATTTCAGGATGTTAACGGAGAGCATCGTCATTGTCACAACAGCATGTGGGTCGAGGGGATTCTTGGTAATGGTTTAGGTTTCCGAGAAAATGAAACGAGTCTAAAAGGCAGAACGCTTGAATTGGATGACAGAACATCAAAGCACCAAGCATATCATGAAGGATCTCATAAAACAACAACATGGTGTTGAGGTCGAGCCCAGACTGGAACCACATTTATTATTACTGTGGATGTCCTAAAGAAGTCTAGAATAATAACAGAATGAGGGAATGTCTCAAGCTTTAGGAATGTACAGTATGCTTAATCTACTTCTAGGAACAGACAAATTACAAGCAAAACAAAGCAGTTGCTACAAAAAAGGAATCCGTTTCTAAGAACAAAAACGCCTCTTTAGACAAGTCTGATCAAGTGTGTGTGTGTGTGTGTGTGTGTGTGTGTGCAACATGGTTGATTCAAGGATGTATCCAAGCACTCAAGGTTATTGCGTAATGTGAAAATTATGCAGATTTGTACTCGGTGTCCATGATGGATGTATTCTCACACTTCTGTTAGACTCATTGAAAGACTGTTTGCTTTCTATCTGTCATTCTGTCTATTTTTCAATCTATCATTCTATTGCTCATCGTTCATTCTGTATATTGTTCAGTCTGTTCGCCTATTTATGTCTTGCCTCTGTTGTTTTAGAGATTTTCAATGATATATTTCATGTACACTACCGGTCAAAAGTTTTAGATCATTTAATGTTTTTATAAGAAGTCTTTTCTGCTCACCAAGGCTGCATTTAAAAAAAACAGTAATATTGTGAAATATTATGACAATTTAAAATTATTGTTTTCTATTTTAATATATATTAAAATGTCATTTCTTCCTCTGAAAAAAGCTGAAATTTCATCATTACAGTCTTCAGTGTCACATGATCCTTCAGAAATCACTCTAACATGATGATTTTATGCTCAAAAAACATTCATTATTACTTTCAACGTTGAAAACAGTTTTTTTTTTTCGAACACATTTTTTTTTTCAAAAATTCTTTGATGAATAGAAAGTTCAAAGAACAGCATTTATTCAAAATAGAATCTTTTCTAACATTATAAATGTCTTTATTGTAACTTTTGATCAATGTAACCAAAGTCCTTTAAGGCCTATTATATAAATAGTCTCTGATGTAACTCATCCTTGATGAATAGAAGTATTCATTTCTTATTTTTCCCAAAAAATAAAAAAATAAAAGAAAAATTCTTACTGACCCCAAACTTGTTAAAGGGTAGTGTTTAATGTTACAAAAGCTTTCCATTTCAGATAAAAGCTGTCCTTTTGAACTTTCTATTCATCAAAGAATCCTGAAATTAAAATGTAAAAAACAGAACATTGATAATAATCATACATGTTTCTTGAGCAGCAAATCATCCTATTAGAATGATTTCTGAAGGATCATGTGACACTGAAGACTGGAGTAATGATGATGAAAATTCAGCTTTGATCACAGGAATAAATTACACTTTACTATATATTCACAAAGAAAACAGACGTTTTAAATTGTAATAATATTTCACAATATTTTTTTTTTTTTTTGTATTTTTTTAATCATATAAATGCAGCCTTGGGGAGCAGACGAGACTTCTTTTAAAAACATTAAAAATCTTACCGATCTAAAACTTTTGACCGGTAGTGTATGTGTACGTTTTGTGTACGTTTGTCTGCTGCCCACAATAAATAAAAGAAAGCAAACAGTGTCAGATTTCAATCAGTAGTGTTCCAACATTACGGCATTGCATGTTTAATTTAGTGCGACTGTCATCCAAGTATGACACATATGGGCACAAGGAACCTGTGAAGATCAGTGATGCAGTTACTTTCCAATTTGCTTTGACCCTCTCCCTCTTTCTCCCTTTGAATGATTGTTTACTTCCACTATTACTTAATAAATGTATCTTTCAGATTGAGACTTAATAAGATTACAGGTATATGTGTACACTGTGCAGGTATGTGTGTCCTGGTTTCTGCATGTAAAAATAGAATTACATTAGCAAGCTGGAACAGAGCTGTCACACACACACACACACACTTAACACTTACGTAATCCCTCAGACTACACAACAAAGAGACACATCCCAAATCCGCTGAACCCCGCCTTATAGGAACAGAACTACACAAATAGAGAATAAATACATACCAGCTCAATTACATCAGATATAATAATGTTGCAAAATTCATGTCATCAATTTTACAATGGCAATCCTTTGTAAGGAACATTTCCCAATCACGGATGACAGTCTCGTAACAGAACAATATGCTCTCACGTTCAGGCACACACACACCTTGGCTGAGCATTCAAACTTGTGTAGTCTTGCATGTCTTATTTTTACTTCCCTTAAATTCCATCTTATTAGCAGTGTGTTCTGTCAGGCTTGGTATGAGGGATCATGGGAAATTAGCATATGAATAAAACTACATTTCCCAAAGTTTCTGAGGAGGCTTCTCTTTAAAGACACTAAATGTACGATTTTTGCATTAAAATGTCGGAAAATCACTAGACGGTGTTATATATTTTATTTAATATAATTTATTTAGGCTACTTACATTATCCCAAATGTTTCCAACAATGTTTAAATCCAGAGAAATCAGCAATTTTAAACAGTGTAACGGCACGTGTCATTGCGGCACCTATCCATGACATCATATTTTTAGAATCCATGGAAACGCCTCAGATGCTTTAATAGCCTATAATGTGTTTTATTAGGCAGATATAGTGCATTTATTGTGTTGTGGGTATGTCTACTTATTTGCGATTGTGGATGTCTTCCCATTAGTAGTCATGATTTACCATAAAACACTCTCTGTTATTCTGAATTATGTTGCAAAAGATTATATCTCTGAAAGCGTGTGTGTGTGTGTGTGTTAGAGAGAGCGTTATCACAGAAAATATGAGTCACCAGTGCTCTCCCTTCCCTGTGTGTTTCTGCATGTTGGTGCGTGTGTGTGTAAATGTACATTATCCATTCAAAGAGCTTTGATAAGGAGGAAAATGATGATTGTAAACAGACTGACATGCCTCGGTGGTTTTATGAGGTAAAAAATATATGGGTTCAGGTTTGTGTACGTGCTTCCAGTTATTTACTTTCAGTAATCCTCTAATTCAAGGCTTTTATGGATGTGCAAAGCACAATAGCAAGGATCACAAACTGATTCTGATCTCACCTTCAAATGCCCTCTTGTTATTCAGATCGTCTAGTTCCCTGCTGTAGTAGCTCTGATGATGAACATTAACTAATGTAACTGTAATGTGGATGCTACAGACAAGACGTATTGGATCCAAGTGCAGTAAACATTTAAAACAGGACTGAAATACCTGGAGCAAGACAAATCCAGGCACATGACTGAGAAGATGCTACAACAAACAACACTAGACAAGAAAAGAGAGAAACATTGGGTATACATACACAAAGGAAAACAAGACAACAAGGGGGAGGGGTTAATTGTCATGGGAACAACTAAGAAGACACACCTGGGTAGACTAATCGTCATGAAAAACTACAACATGGCACTAAACAGGAAATAACAAAAGTCCTCAGTCCCCACAACAGACTTGGGAACACAGACTGGGATCATGACAGTTACACTGTTAAGGCCTGTTCTCACCAAGAGATTTCCACGACGCATGCGCGAGAATTGCGATCTCCTTCAACTACTTCAGTTCATTTCTCGCGCATGCGTCGTGGAAATCTCTTGAACTCTCGTCTCAGGCCTAAAAGGAACAAAAGGAATAGTCGAATAAAGTTGTTATTTATGTTTGTTTTTTCGCACAAAAAGTATTCTCGTCGCTTGATAAACTTATAGTTGAGCCACTGTTGTCACATGGAATATTTAAACATTTTCTTCATTGACTTTCTGGGCTGTCAAGTTTCAATCCCTTAGGCAGCCTATGTAGCAGTGATCCACCTCTCAAATTTAATCAAAAATATCTTCACCTGTGTTCCGAAGACGAACGAAGGTCTTACTGGGTTGGTACAGCATGGGGTGAGTAATTAATGACTTAATTTTAATTTTTTTGGGTGAACTAACCCTTTAAACACTCTAAATCCTTGCTGTGAAAATGGTTTTGAAATTGAAGATTGTGTTACCATGGAAACAGTACATGTAAGGCATCAAAAAATATTAAACGGTGGGTATCTCCCTGTGGTTATTTTTGGTATTACGCCTCAAATCGAACTTCAAATTTGGGACACAACTTGGTTAGACACATGGCTTTGATGTGAGAGAATTATTATTTTTTTTTTGTATAAAATAAAAATGTATAGTAACCTACATTTGCTTTACAGTAAGTGCTTTCACGTCAGCAATGTCTCCTTTAAAAAGAGTATTCCAAATACTTTGTAATACAGTATTCTGTAATACAATAAAGTAGCCTATCATTCTTGAATTACAACCATTTAAGTTTGGATAGTGCATTTTCTATGCTCAAAACAGCTCTAGAGGATCTAGCATTATTTCAGATCATAAGCAGCCATGTCCTATGAACAACTTGCACGATAATTTAATAATACTTTTGCATATAAGTCTCAGCCCTCCAAAACGTCTGCTTTCAACCTTCTTGTACGGATCAGGAATAAAAGAAGAAAGGTAGCTCTTATTAAATTTAGTTAACATAAAAAAAGTTGCACCAGTTTAAATATGAAAGCTGTAAGTGTTGAAATGCCTACCACAAATATTACTTCCTCAAATGAAAAAAGTACGTTTATATACCTCCCCAGAAATAGCGCCAACTTCAACCCACCAATCATCACCAAGAGAGACACACCGATAACCAATGACACACCCAGTGGGCGGAGTCGAAACTGTGGGCGCGGCACTAGCAGGAGTCTCTGATTGGCCCGCTCGCCGCTGGTGACGAAGCTCAACGTGTTTCTCATGTTTTGAAATGGGAAGTTTGCAACTTTGCAAAGTGTGCAGCCGAGCGAGCGTCCTCTAAAGAGAAACAAGCTGTTGCCTTCCCTCCGCGCATGAAGACACGGCGGGAAAGCGCCTTTTCCAGGATTCCCAGCTGGGTTTGACAGATCTGCGCGTGGGAGGGAGATGGATGTGATTCCCATGTGCAGTATTTTCCAGGAGCTGCAAAGTGTCCTTGACACGGGATACCTGTCCGCACTGCCATCTTTGGAGGAGTACTGGCAACAGGTACTAACCTGTTTTATTTTTTCGAATACTCTGATCAAACATAGGAGGATAAAAGGAGAGAAGCGATATAATATCAGAATTTTTTGTATATAACATTTCCTACGCTTATATCGTAACTAAATAAAAATAATAAATATCTATCCGACATTGATATGTGATTTTAATTTAGCAGTCAAATCAAATGACTTTTCTTTTTACCAGTATAAAAGAAGATGTTCTCGTTCTACAGTGTGAGTATATTTTGAAAGATGTTCAAAAGTTTATTTATTAATTTTTTATTTGTCTCTTATGCTCTTATTATGGCTGCATTTATTTAAATAAATATTAGTATCATGAAATATTATTACAGTTTACAATAACAGTTCTATTTTAATACATATTAAAATGTAATTTATTAATTTATTACGATGGTAAATTTATTACTCCAGTCTTCAGTCACATGATCCTTCAGAAATCATTTTAAATGCTGATTTGCTGCTCTATAAATGTTGAAAACAGTTGTGCTGCTTCATATTTTTGTGGAAATCGTGAAATTTAATTTATTTAAAAAATAAATTGTTGAATGTAAAGTTAAAAAGAACAGTGTTTATTTGTAATGGATTTTCTTTGTATCTTAAATGTCTTTACCGATCAATTTAATACAATTTTTTTATTATTATTTTTTTTTAAATGAAATCTTACTGACCCTAAACTGTTGAACTGTAAATAACTTTGATAACAACCCACATATTACCCACATAAGAGGCTAGTTGTCATAATTTTTACTCTAGTGAAGGTCTCTCAAGGTAGGTTGATTTACTTTTATGTAGTTTGCATACAGACAGTTTCACTTTAAGTTATGTCTAAGTTATGTCTTAAGTTTAAGTGAAACTTAAACTTAATGTGGCATGCCAAAAATAAAATCCTGTCAACATTTACTCATTCTCATGTAATTACAGACCAGATATTCAGATTTGCTGAATATCAGAGGCATTCTTCTCTGAGATCATATGAGGAATAAACAGAAATTGAATACATTTGACTGAACTACTTATGGTAACTTTGTCATTTTTAGAGCTTTTATACTCTTTTTAGTATAGAAAAGAGCACCTCTGAAATTCTGCTAAACCTCACATTTAGTGTTCCTCATGCATGTTTTAATGACATGAAGCTGAAAAAATGAAATTTCCGTTTCATTTTAGAATTTAGAATGTTTGGGGTTAGGGTTAATTCCTGTTGGCGTTTGTGTCACTGTTTGCCCTTTTCTCTCTTATAGACTTGTCTTGAGCTTGAGCGCTATCTGCAGAACGAGCCCTACGTCTCTGCAGCTGATCTGAGATCAGTGTGTGAGTGTGACGATCTGTGGAACCAGTTTCTGCGGTGCTGTGGGACTGAAGTGAGCACGTCCCCTCCAGAAGCCTCCGGCCCCATCCAGGACGGGACATCTACTGCTTCCCATTCGTCAGTCGGCAGCTGTGAGAAGATCATTGGCTCTCCTGATGTGCTCACACACCCTCTGGGTCAGCAGCATGTCACCACACACACACCCCCGACGCCACCCTCCTCGCCCTCCCTCGCTCTTATGGAGGTTAAAGAAGAGGCGAGAGGGGAAAAGGTCAAAGGTGAGGGGTTATCCGAAGGACGAAAGAGAGCTCATCGATGTTACTTCAACGGTTGCAGGAAGGTGTACACCAAGAGCTCTCACCTGAAAGCGCATCAGCGGACGCACACCGGTAAGCAGTTTCTATGAGAGGGTTTATAATCCTACCTGTATTTTGACTCACTGTTGTCACAACAGTTTTCTCAGCTTTGGGAAGCAACACTTCTCTCATTCGGATCGTGCCGAATGTCACTCTGATAAATCTGCCAGACAAAGCTTTTTTTAAATGCTTTTTAAATTACAATTTTACTCTGAATCCCATAAAGCCTACTGTATCATATTTTAATGCACAAATGATACACCCGTGCATGATCACAACTTTGCTGAAAATCCTGTTGCTCACAAAACTGCTACGTGCCTTCTGTCATGTATACTTTGGCATATAAAAAGGCCTTTTAGTATAATTTGAAAAATGTCCACCATCAGGTCACACCCTCTGTGATTTTTTTTTTATAAAGCAAATGTAAGAATAACCTATATATTGTTATTAATATTTCAATATTAACACTTATTAACTGGACTGAAGCAACCTACAGTAGGTATACTAGATTATCCATGATACATCATTTCCTAGAAAAATCATGTTAAAATATAAGTATCAAATATGACACATCAGGTTTTTGAGGAACAATTATTTATATCTCTTAATCATAATTGTATAGCATTACATCATGTTTTGCCCCACAATAAAACAGACTACAACTACAGAGCTTTAAACATAATATATATAGAGATATTTATGTGCATTTTATGTAAGTAGTTTGCTATACTGTTATTGCGATCTCATTGTTTTACATTACAAGTTAATTTAATCTTACCTTTTGGCCATATAAATATCATCAGCTGCACCAAATTGCATATTTATGTTCAATTTGGACCTCATTCATTTTCTTTCTCAACTCTGAGCTTCATATTCTCACTAAATGATGCTATTTGGACCTTAAAAGCCTGATTTTTCAAGTTTGATATGTAACAAAAAACACTAGTTTCTAATATTCTATCTGAAGGTTTGAACAGTTTTCTAAAATGAGACGAACAATATGCGCAGTATGCGTTGATTCCCATGTGGCGCTGCCATTGCATAATGTTCATTTTTTGAATATTTAGTACGCAGACCTCCCCGTCTGGAGCCGAATGTAGTGTGTAAATGTGGTTTGGTGACACTCCCTACATTCTTAGAATGCTCGTTCTTAATGATTCTGTCATGCACTCTAGGAACATAGATTACAACACTGAATCAATCCACACTGTTCTTCTTGAATGCAATCTTAAATAATGTTTGCAAAGTTGACTGACTTCACTAAAAACTAATAAAGATCATAAAGAAACCCAGATCAAAGAACACCATGTAGTCGTGGGCTTGTGGTTAAGTATGTGCTTTTCGTTCTGTCCTTTGTTGGTTTTTTAAATGTCCTCTAAATACACATTGACAAAAGCCTAAAAATAAAACCCTCAAAGAATCGGTGACACCACAACAATGTGTAATACATCTTTAAAAATAACAGTTCCAAAAGGCGTTTTTTCACAACGATGCCATAGAAGAACAAGTTTTTGTTCCCCAAAGAACCTTTCACTTAACGGACCCATTTTTTTTTTTTATTAATGTAAATAACTAAAAGAACGACTATAGCACTTGAAAGAACACATACTTTGAATTTTCATGACTTCAGTGACGCTTCTCCAGACTCACTACCTTTTTATAGTTTTTGATTTGTCATAATAACTTCCACAACTAATCTTTCCTCATCTCTATTTGATAGTTAACTCTTTCTTTCTTTATTTTTGGTAAAGTTGACAGCCACCACCAGTGTTGTTGATAATTTTCTAAATTTTCATGGCCCCCAGAATATTTTGTTGTCTGAATATCTGAGCATCTGTTTTATTCTAGCTTCATTCATTCTTTTTTTCAAGAATGCATGAGAATTATGTTTTTTTTTTGTCAAAGACTACATTCAGATCGGATTCAGAACGATGATCAAAACATGGATGGGGTAAATCGAGTCCATCATCAACACAGTCCTATAGCTCATCCTGGGTCAACATTTCATTCTGTTGAATGTTGATGTTTTCTCACAAATGATGGACATTTCTGTCAATGTCAGGGAAAGAGTTAATATACATGAGAATCTGTACTACGGTCCAATGAGATTTCTGTGTGGACTGAGCTACCTAGAACAGCACCATAATTAGAAAAGTATGGGTTCAGAATCAGATGACATTTTCTGGTGAAAATTATGATGTTGGTCATATTACCAAAAATAATAATCTGTGATTCTGAATCCCAGTATCCACACCGGCGCGGTGATTGACAGCTGCACACTCTCCTCAAACACTTTGTTCATCCGCACTGTGCTGTGTCGAAGTATAACTCGCGTAAAGTTGATAACTCCGCGAATAACTGCAGTTACAGATTTCGAACAGAGATGGCGACAAAGAGGAAAAACACCGGACTGCAAGTGTTATAATTATAAATATACCATTTGAATATTTATTCCATCACGTCACGTGACATGCAGGTTAAAAATATATTTAAAATTTTTTAGGAAATGTTTTACTTTGTTTAATGACATTTTTTTTTACATTTTTATGAACCAAGTCATTATTAGCTTTTCATCAACAACAAATGGTAAATGGACTGCATTTATACAGCGCTTTCATAGACCTAATGGCCACCAAAGCGCTTTACATTTTTGCCTCACATTCACCTGAATTAGCCTTTGTGTGATGTTATGTTAAAAGTAGTACCTTCAGCACTAAATAGTGAGTATTGTCGTGTGTTTGCTCGCCCCCTGCAGGTGAGAAGCCGTACAGGTGTTCGTGGGACGGCTGCGAGTGGTGCTTCGCTCGAAGTGATGAACTGACGAGGCACTTCAGAAAACACACTGGAGCGAAACCCTTCAAATGCAGCCACTGCGACAGGTGACCGCGAGTGTGTGTGTGTGTGTGTGATCGGACACAGTGTTTCAAACACAGATTTTGAGCTATATGTAATCATTATCTCTTTCAGGCGTTTCTCTCGTTCTGATCATCTGGCTCTCCACATGAAGCGACACATCTGAACGAGAGGAGTAAGGGACAGACGCACTGGTACAGCACAATAGTGAACAGAATTTGTGTGTAAGGATCCCAAAGACCAGCACAACTGGTTTTCTATGTATTCATTAAGTGTCAGTGTTGCACCTTCTTGCCAATTATATGCTTTCAGCAAAAGGGATATAGATTTTGTTCCCATGCTGGTGACATTTGACTTGTTGATGCATGATTTAAGTATCCATATATTTGCAGGCTTTGCCAATTGCAGTATATTCATTTCACTCTGCTTTATAAAAATAAAATCTTGGTCCACACAGAACATGTGCCATTTTACCATAGTTAACTGCCTGCTTTCCCATTCTGCACTAAAAAGTAATATAGTTTATATTTTGTAGGAATTATATTTAAAAATAAAGAAAGAAACTGCACCAAAGGCGTTACAGTATGTATATATACTATAGTATATAAGATAAGCTTTATTTTGTTTAAATTTTTAAAGTTAAGTTACACTTTACACACTGAAAAGTATCTGATTTATTGTGGAGCCGACACGTTTTTATCCAGAGCAGCTATGAGTCCATGTAGATAAGAATACGTATTTGAGACCAATAAGTGTGTATTGCTGTTTATTAGGTTTGCGAATGACCTGCTTCATCCAGCAGTTACAGGTTCATTAATTGTGCTGATATTACTGGTAATACAACCTTTTTAACCACTAAAGCAACATAGTCGCTGAAGACTAAAAATATCATATTAGTGCCTTAAAATCACACTCTTGAGCTGAAATATTTCATTTTGGTTTAATTTTGGCCTAGAAATGTTGGATGAAAGTAGAAAATCCAATAATTATTTTGTGGATACTGTATTTTGTGTCATAAAGACTAGAATGTCTGAATTGTGTTATTGAATGATTGTTACCCAGAGATGTGCCGCTGTAATGTTGTGGTTTTAAAATAAGCATCAGGAACTTTCACTGGCAGTTTTCTGGTTACTTTGAGCACAGATTGATATGATGTTGGCAGAGCTCCTCAGAGCATTTGTTGTCCAGATGTTTTAAAGCCCTGCAGGTGTTACAGAGACAAGGGTGTTCACTCACAGCGAATAATAATATGAAAGCTATTCATGTCTAACTGGAATTCACAATATCTTCAGGGGAATTTAATATACGCTGCAGTAGCCCTAGTTCACTTTAAAATGAAACTTAGCCCACGATTTACTCACCCTCAAGCCGTCCTAGGTGTATATGACTTTATTCTATCAGACGAATACAATCTGAGTTATGTTAATAAACACCCTGACGCTTCCGAACTTTATAATGGCATTGGATTGCAACCATTAGATTGAAGCTCAAAAATGTGCATCCATCCATCATAAAATAACTCACACGGCTCTGGGGGTTAATAAAGGCCTTATGAAGCGAAACGACTTGTGTAATAAAAAAATTCATATTTAAAAATAACTAGCTAATTTTGACTTTAAAGTGAACTACTCCTTTAAAAATACTTTGTGCATATTAGGATTTTTAAGGGTTATGAGATAAACAATTTAACAAACATTTTACATTTGGTTCATGCTATTTGGACAATAGTTTGACATTTGAGTTTGATATTTCCACAATTTCCTGTAGCATTAATCTTTCAAATATCTCTGCCTAGAGGGTCTGATGTGATGTTTTTGTTTTTATTATGAAAATGGTACTTTTTGTTTGCCTTTTATTGTTGTTTTCTTTGTTAAAAGCAGATATATACAGTGTATATATATATATATATATATATATATATATGAAGCAACAATATAGTATAACATTTTTATTCTATCTTTGTAAATACATTTTATACTACAACAATAATAAATAAAAGATTTTTATAAACTTGTTTTGTAGTTTCTTTATTATATAATCTGCAAAACATTACACATTAGATTCTCATTCTAACAGGCCTAGACTGCTGCACTTCATGCATTAGAGATAAAAGAGGGATCCTGTATCAGAGACAACAATAAAGGACTGTGGAGACAGTAGACAAAGACTCTTCTGGAACATTGTGTACACCAAAATATGATGCACTTTGTTGAATGTTAGAATAAATGTTACTGCAAGTTCATGGGAGTGTTTAACAGGCTTGTTCCTCTACTTGAACTTAAAACAGATGCTCTACAGACCCACCCTTACACACAAACACTGGGAAAGAAACTTTCAAATTCTGACTTAATAACTTAACTGACTAAAATAAATGTTTTATAACAAATATATTCAGATCTATTAATATGCAGAAAACATTACATTTAAAACAAATCAGCAAAACTTATTATTTTATACAATTATACATGACTTTGTCTTCAATATGTAGGCCTAATAGGCTATGTAAATTGTTCTAAGATGACAAGCGCTAATTCTAATTTATTCATTATAGGTTAAATGTGCTTAATCTTCTAATGTGTGTAGGCTACACTCACACAGGAATATAAACAGAGTAAATCCCCTTCAAATAAAGATCGTTTCAATTATGTCCTGGTGACATTAAAAACGTGTCACTGAATTATTCATTGCTTCATCCATTAATGAAACAAGTGAAGACATTAATTCAAACCGATTTAAAAAATAATTAAAATTAATTCAATATTTTATAATAGACTGCAGCAATCAACATAGTCAGAATTACACACTATTTTGAAAAAATAAAAAAAAAAAATCTTGATTCTCAATTTATCCAGACAAGGGTTAACTCAGTTACAGTGGGAACGATGATTGTTGTAGTGACTATGGAATTTGGGAAGAAACCAAATTCTTTGTATGGAAAATGACCTCTAGGAACAACCAGACATCATGGGAACAACCATATCAGTTAAAAACTTTCAAATATTTAACCCTAATTGTTAACTCCCTATGCCCAAAAAGATTATTTTGAAGCTCCCTCCTTTTCTAAGTACTTGACCCCTGTGTTTAAACAGCGTGACCCTTGTTTCCCTGTTTCTACTGACATCTGCTGGTCATTTTACGACGTGTTTGGTTAAATATTTTAAAAACCACGCATCATGCATTCCATCTCCTTTATCTTAAATGTTATATAAACTGAATTTTATAGGCTCACATTATATATATATATATATGTATTTTATTTACTTTTTTTATTGCCCATACTTTTATTTTGTAGCATCAGTGTTGCAGCCGGTTAAGGTCGCGTCTAGTGCGCATGCGTTGTGAACAGCATGCCATGGGACATTGAAGGAGAAAGACGGAGCTTTAATCGTAACGGAAACATGAATTTAGGAACTCACATGCGTTTAAACTTTTAACTTAACTCATACTCACAGTATTTATTGGAGACGGTTGATTTAAGCATCTAAAATGTTTCGTAGAAGTAAGACAATCCTTACGAAACTCAAAAATTTGAGGTGAGGACACGGCTCGGTTGAAACAAACTTCAGTCCTTCGATTTTAGACGTCCGCGTGATCTGATTTAGGCCGTTATTCATGTTTCAATTGCCATTAATTTATCATTTCAGGCCATTGTTATTAACTGTCATCATGTGTAAAGGTGTAACTTTGACGTGTGTGATGTAACGTTAAGCCATTGAGAAAAGCTCAGTCATGCTGACTGGTCTGATAAATGAGTGGTTTGTAGTTGTTTGCAGGGTTCATGGAGGACCAGAGGCAGCTCTGCTGTAGATAGAGCACTGCAGTACACAGTGGGACAGAAGATCCACGGATTCACTGTCAAAGAGGTAAAAAAGAGAGTAAACAAATCATGAAAATTGATGTGCTTGCATTCCTTCTGTTTCATCACATACAGCCAAGCAGGGGTTCTTAAACCTTCTCATTTTGATAGCTTCTAAAAAACTAAGACAAGATTAAACCAAGATCCTTTGCATTGTTTAAATTAAAACTACAATCACTAATCTTGCACATGATTTGCTTTAGTTTGTAAAACCTTACAAATGAAATAATAGTCAGAAAACATTGGTGCAAACTGCTAAAATTTGGTGCAGATGTTGTTTAAATGGCCAGACAAGTAGTGGCAGACTACTTACATAAAATGCATATAACTGTATGGATGTCAAGGTGACCTTGTGCTAACATCGATTGTGTTTTTTTAGGTTACAGCTGTGCCGGATTTGTTTCTGACGGCCGTTAAACTCTCCCATGATGCCACAGGAGCTCAGTATCTTCACGCTGCCCGAGACGATTCCAACAACCTCTTCAGGTACAGTCTGCCTGCATCTGATGGACACTGATATGCTGAAACATCTGACGATTTTCTTTTGAACGCCATTAAATGCCCAGATTATGTCCACACTCCTCTAACTCTAACTGTGTTATTGTAGTGTGCAGTTTCGTACCACGCCGATGGACAGCACGGGTGTTCCTCATATTCTCGAGCATACGGTTCTGTGTGGCTCTCAGCGCTTCCCCTGTAGAGACCCCTTCTTTAAGATGCTCAATCGCTCTCTCTCCACCTTTATGAACGCCTTCACAGGTACTTCCCGATGTGTGTTTGTGTTTAAGTCAGTGTGTGATTTGATTATGTATGTCTGATTATGTCAATCTCTCTCCCCAGCGAGTGATTACACAATGTATCCGTTCTCAACTCAGAATGCCAAAGACTTCCAGAACCTTCTCTCAGTCTATCTGGACGCTGTTTTCTTCCCCTGTCTCAGAGAACTGGACTTCTGGTAAAGGCCATAAGTCAGATAATGTAATTAATGGAACATTAATTGCTTTTGAGAGGGATTTTATGTTTTTGTTTTGTTTTTTTCCAGGCAGGAGGGCTGGAGGCTGGAGCACGAGACCCCCACAGACCCCTCGAGTCGTGTGGTGTTCAAGGGTGTGGTTTTCAACGAGATGAAGGGAGTGTTTGTAAGGAAACTCCTCTGTGCTCTTCTGATTAAAAAAAAATATAGCAGCAATATCTATAGAGATGCAAGGATGATGCACTTCACTACAACCTCATACACTACCTTTTAAAAGTTTGGGTGCAGTAAGATTTTTTTTTTTTATTCATTTTAAAGATGCATTAAATTAATCAAAAGTGACAGTAAAGACATTTTATAATATTTTTTTTTTTATCACAGAATCCGGGGGGGAAATGTTATCATGGTTTCCATATAAATATGAAGCACCACAACTGTTTCCAACATTGATAATAATAAGAAAAGTTTTTTTGAGCATCACATCAGCATACTAGAATGATTTCTGAAAGATCATGTGACTCTGAAGACTGGAGTAATGATGCTGAAAATTCAGCTTTGCATCACAGGAATATTTTTTTTTTTTTTTTTTTAATATATTAAAATAAAAAATAAAAATAGTTTTTTTTAAATTGTAATAATGTTTCACAATATTGCTGTTTTTACTGTATTTTTGATTGAATAAATGTAGCTTGCGCATAAGATGAACATAAGAGACTTCTTTCAAAAACATTTTGAATGGTTTTGTAGGTAGTGGCCAATATTATATTTTACTTAAAGGGATAATTCACACATCATTTACTCACCCTCAAGTTGTTCCAAACCTGTATGAATTTCTTTCTTCTGCTGAACACAAAAGGAAGATACTTTATAGTATGTCGGTAACCGAACAGTTGATTGGCTCCAATGACTTCCAGAATATGGGGAAAAAATGCAATGGAAATAATTGTTTGGTTTCTGACATTCTTCAAAATATCATCTTTTGTGTTCAGCTGAAAAAAAGATATTCATACAGATTTGGAACAACTTGATGGTGAGTAATGTGTAAATGATAAATATCTGCATATGCCAATATATATATATATGTCATCAGTGCATCTTTAAATATGTATAATAAGCTTCATAATGCACACATCCTATACTGAATATATCTATCCATAATTACAAATACCATTTGAGTTTCTTGTGATGTTATAATTATTTTAGACTAACCAATGTTTCTGTTACTGTTGTGTGTGTGTAGTCAGATAATGCTCAGCTATACGCTCAGCACCTCCAGAATAAACTCCTGCCAGATCACACATACTCTGTTGTGTCCGGAGGGGAACCGCTGGCCATCCCTGACCTGACCTGGGAACAGCTCAGACACTTCCACGCCACACACTACCACCCCAGCAATGCACGGTACACATATTAAACACTCGGACTCACTAAAGGAATGTGTGCAAAAAGCAGACAATACTCATTGCCTGCTCTGCGTGTTTATTGCAGGTTCTTCACATACGGGGACTTACCGTTGGAGCAGCACTTACAGCAGATAGAGGAGGAGGCTCTGTCTAAATTTGAGAGAACAGAACCCAACACTGCAGTTCCTCCCCAAATGCTCTGGGACAAGCCTGTACGTTACACAATACACATGAGAAGAACCTGTACAATGAACACGTTCAGTTCAAGTTTGTGAGTTTTGTTCGTTGTTCAATGTTTGTGCTCAGAGAGCGGATCACGTGACTTGCAGGCCTGACGCACTGGTTCCTGACCCCATGAAACAAAACACACTCTGCATGAGCTATCTGCTGGGAGAGTGAGTGGACAAACATTTTGTTTCTTTTTCTTTTCATTTCTAGTGTTGCCACGGTTGTCACAATGACAAATGAGTAATACTTAAAAGGAGTAGTTCACTTTTTAAAAAACTTTTGCTGATAATTTACTCACCCCCATGTCATCCAAGATGTCCACGTCATTCTTTCTTTAGTCGAAAATAAATTAAGGTTTTTGATGACAGGTTTTTTCTCCATATAATGGATTTTACTGGTAACCAGATAGTTCAAGGTCCAAAAGACAGTTTCAGTGCAAACTGCAAACTGTTCAAAGGGCTTTAAACGATTCCAGACGATGAATAAGGTTTTTATCAAGCAAAACGATCGCCCATTTAAAAAAAACAAAAAAAACAAGTATAAGTTTTATAAGCTCAAATGCTCGCCTTGCTCTGTTCTGTGATGCGCGTTGGTGACTCTCCTGTTCGAACTCGTTTATCAAAATGAACGAATCTTTTCCCGAGTCAACTCTTTCATTTTGTTCATTGAATGAACCAAATGACACAAATTAGATTCGTTCATTTTGATAAATGAGTTCAAACAGGAGAGTCACAAACGTGCGTCACAGAACAGAGCAAGGCGAGCATTTGAGCTTATAAAACTTAAACTTTTTTTTTTTTTAAATGAGTGATCATTTCGCTTGATAAGACCCGTATTCATCATTTAAAATCATTTAAAGCCCTTTGAACAGTTTGCAGTTTGCACTGAAACTGTCTTTTGGACTTTGAATCGTTTGGTTCCCATTGAAGTCCATTATATGGAGAAAAATGCTTTAACGTTTTCATCAATAACCTTCATTTCTTTTAGACTGAAGAAAGAAAGACATGGACATCTTGGATGACATGGGGGTGAGTAAATTATCAGCAAAAGTTTTTTTAAAAGTGAACTACTCCTTTAATAGCAAGACTTTATGTCCCGTCCATTGCCATGGTTATCACAACTTTGCAGTTTGTACTTGAATTCAATACTTGGGTATTGAAAGCGAGCATAGTAGTAGTTCCGCGACTTTTGACAACATTGGTCATTTAATCTTTTCAAGTTTACCTCTCTTACCTTGTGTCAATGTGTGTTTCAGCATCACAGACACATTTGAGTCGTTCACTTTGAGCCTCCTCTCCTCTCTGATGATCTCTGGTCCAAACTCTCCCTTCTACAAAGCCCTGATCGAGCCCAATATCGGTTCAGACTTCTCCTCTTCAGTGGGGTATGTTGTTTGACAAGACTTTAAAATCACTTCCTCTCTCGGATGAGTGAGAGTGGAGCTTCATAAATGTGTGATTCGTGCAGGTTTGACGGCAGCACTAGACATGCGTCCTTCACCATCGGTCTTCAAGGCATAGCGGAGGCCGACACTGAGGCGGTCAAGCAGATCATCGCCCAAACTATCGATGACATCATTGCGTGAGTATAGATTGGATGACTGTTTTATTGCCTTACTACAATAAAGAGTTTTAAATGAAATCAAGCTTTTGCTGAACTTTTAGAGAATCTGAATTTGCTTGTGATGTTCACTAGCACCTGCTAAATGAATAAATGTAATTGAATGGCTGTTTCAGAACTGGTTTTGAAGAGGAGCAGATTGAAGCTTTGCTGCATAAAATTGAGATTCAGATGAAACATCAGTCCACCAGCTTCGGCCTTGCTCTCACTTCAGTGAGTTAACTCTCTCGCACGCACACGCACACATGTACTTGTATTTCCTATTTATTTATTTTTGTTACTTATATTGAATGTATGTAAAAGGACGAGGTTTTCTGCAGAATGTTAACATGTTTAACATGTCAAAACACACGGGCTTTGGCAACTGCTGTTGTTCTTAAAGGGACAGTTCACCATAAAATATTGAAATTTTGATATCGAAATGGATATTCAAATCCTTCAGTTCTCGCCATCTGCGGAAAGCCAAGCCAATGTTTATTCTTGTTTAATTACGAGCTCTGTCACGTTTTCTTTTTGCCAATAGACTATTTATTTAAAACAAGGTTGGAGATTTATCATGCTCCATATTAACCCTCCTCACTCTTTGACAAATAACCTGTCACTCCCGTCCCACACCATACACATGTCAAAGTCGCCGGAGCAACTTTCAATTTACGGATATGAAGAGACGCAATTGGCTTTATGCACAGCTGAACTACTTCCTGAACTTCAGCCAGCTCCTTTGTTTCTTGTGTCGCCATTATTGGACAAACTGATTAATCCAAGTGTGCCTGACATCAGTAGTCACAACAACAATAATCGACACAGCTGGATTAATCAGTTTGTCCAATAGTGGAAGACAGGAAACAAAGGAGCTGGTTAAAGTTCAGGAAGTAGTGCAGCTGTGCATAAAGCCACGTGCAAAAACCATCCCGGCAAAATATCAACAATTATAATTGACTTATATTAGTGTAATAATGAATAAGACAAAAACATGTTTTAAAAGAAGGATTGACGATGGATTGACTCTTTAGTTAAATTTAGTTCATTTTGAAAAAAAATTGGATAAGTGTACCTTTTAACTTTAGATTTTTGTTTAAATATTTATGAATGTTTGATCATAAAATGAGTCGGTATGCCTTTTTTTTTGTTTTTTTTACAAGTTAGAATGTCTTTAGGAGATTTTATTCGATTTTTCTATTCGAGGGCAACTTTCAAAAACTCACACTTACTGTCTTAATAAAACAAATATATAACTTGCATGGCAAACCCCCTGTCTCTCTGTCTATCAGTATATTGCATCCTGCTGGAATCATGATGGGGATCCGGTGCAGCTGTTGAAGATCAGTGAGAGTGTGTCCAGATTCAGGCAGTGTTTGAAAGAGAACCCTCGCTACCTTCAGGACAAAGTCCAGCACTACTTTAAGGTGATATTCCTTCTTTTAATTGGTCAGTCGAACTGATTATTCTCCTCCATTCATAATGCTGTGCGTTGTCCATCTCACGCAATGCCTTATGCTTATCGTGTGCTTAAGAAGCAGTGTTTTTGTTAATAAAAAAAACTAAATTGAAATGAAATCTGATGTATCAAAGATTAAATGCTTACATAATTGGAATGACAGACATTTAGTAAGCATGACAAAATGTGTTAGATAGCAATAACAACAGGTAATCTAGAGAAATTAAAACTTGTTTAAATTATATCAATTAACAAATGAACTTTGGCAGTCCTACAATACTAAATCTAAAATAACAACTTAAAATATTGAAACTATAAAACTATAGGACAAATAGAAAATCAAAACTAAACTAAAAATTATTATGGTAATAATAGAAAAACATGATTGTTTGTTTTCATGATTGCAGTTTTCTTCATGCATGTTTGTTGCATTAAGTTACTTCAAAAATGTGTCTGGTTTTCTGTGTTTCAGAATAACACTCATCAATTGACCCTTTCCATGAGTCCCGACGAGAGATTCTTGGAGAAACAGGCTGAAGCTGAGGAACAGAAACTCCAGCAGAGGATACAGATCCTCAGCGATGCGGACCGCAAAGACATCTATGAGAAAGGTACGCTTGCGAGACCAGGAAGGACGAGAATTATTAGTCTCATTCTGTTGCAGAGATTAAACCTGGTGTTTGTTTCAGGTTTGCAGCTGTTGGCTGCTCAGAGCACAACTCAAGACGCTTCCTGTCTACCCGCGTTAAAGGTGTCCGACATTGAGCCGATCATTCCCTACACGTCTGTACAGCTGGAGAGCGCAGGTAAAATGCACATGCACACACGTAACCAGCAAATTAAACCATTCAAGCCATTTACTGTATTTACCACATTTATTATCTCTTTCTGTGTCTGTAGGTGGAGTGCCTGTTCAGTACTGTGAGCAGCCCACCAATGGCATGGTTTATTTCAGAGCCATGTGCAACCTCAACTCCCTCCCTGAAGACCTCAAGATCTACGTTCCTCTGTTCTGCAGCGTCATTACCAAGTAGGAAACCCTTTGTGCTGCTTCATCACTGATACATAATGTAATATAGAGTGTACAGTACCCAACATTCAATCAGATCAGTCTGTGTGAAAATATGCTATATATACAGATTAGGGCTGTGCAAAAATTAATTGCGATTAATCGCATCCAAAATAAAAGTCTGTCTTTACATAATATATTTGTGTGTGCTGTATATAATTATTTTGTATATATAAAAACACACACATGCATGTCTATATTTAAGAAAATGTGTTATTCATGTATAAAATATTTATATTTGTATAATATAGATTATGTATATATATATGTATATATATATACAGAATTTAAGCACAAATAATTCTTAAATATATACATGCATGCATAGGTATTTATATATACAAAATAATTATGTACAGCACACACAAATATATTATGTAAACACAGACTTTTATTTTGGATGCGATTAATCGCAATTAATTTTTGCACAGCCCTAATACAGATCAAAAGTTTGGGGTCGGTAAGATTTTCTCTTATGCACACCAAGGCTGTATTTATTTTATCTAACGCAATAATGCATTAACAACAGTAATATTGTGAAATAATATTATAAATCTATTGTAACATTAGAAATGTCTTAATTGACACTTTTGATCAGATCCTTATGCATCCTTGCACAATAAGAGTATTCATTTCTTTTAAAAAAACAACATCAACAAATCTTGCTGACCCCGAACTATTTGGTCAGTAGTGTAAGTACATAACTAATGTAATGCTGATGCAATCTCAGGTTAGGCAGTGGGGAGCTGAATTATCGTCAGCAGGCCCAGCGTATTGAGCTGAAGACTGGAGGCATGTCTGTATCTCCACAGATCATTCCAGACACTGAGGATCTGGATCTGTACGAGCAGGTATCACTCTCTTTTTCCTCATCTATCATGTGAATTTATATAAATATGATGCTTTTTTGTTTCCAAGTGCATTGAGGTAGAGCTAAAAAGTCAAAACTGTAGCAAGAAGCTTGAAGGTTTGAAATCACATTTTTCTGGATATTTTGTTTTTGTGGATATTTGAACTTGCATTACATTTACAATTTCATTTATTCATTTAGCTGACGCTTTTATCCAAAGCGACTTACAATTGCTATATATGTCAGAGGTCGCACGCCTCTGGAGCAACTAGGGGTTAAGTGTCTTGCTAATGCTCAGGGACACATTGGTGTCTCACAGTGGATTCGAACCTGGGTCTCTCACACTAAAGGCATTTGTCTTATCCACTGTGCCATCACCACCCCATTGACTTGCATTGGAGTGAGTGTGCAATCAATGCTCATGTCTTTTGTGTTTTTTAGGGTATTATACTGTCGTCTTCCTGTCTGGAACGTAATCTACCGGACATGCTTCAGCTGTGGAGTGACATATTTAACTGGTTAGTCTTGTTTATAGAAACTTTTTCTCTAAAATCTATCTTTAAATCTCTGTGTAAGTATAATTATTTTAAACTGAGTTTGCCCTGCACATCTCCAGCCCTCGTTTTGATGACGAGGAGCGTCTGCGTGTGCTGGTCATGATGTCAGCTCAAGATCTGTCCAATGGCATCTCGTACTCCGGTCACATGTACGCGATGACACGGGCGGCTCGATCCCTCACGCCCACAGCAGACCTGCAGGAGACCTTCAGCGGGATGGACCAGGTGAGTGATGATGAGACACACTGATGTTGTTCTTCAGCCTTTGAGGGATTCAAGAAGAATGAATTGTTTCATAAATTAATGATGTTTAAATTTTAGGTCAAGTTTATGAAAAGAATCGCTGAGATGACTGATCTGACTTCAGTTTTGAGGAAACTTCCCCGGATAAAGAGACACCTGTTTAACCCTGAGAACATGAGGTAAACATCAGCCACAGTACTTGATAAGAAATAAGTTAATGCAATAAGCAATTTTCTATTACAGTGATTTTACCGATTTGTGGGGTATTTTAGAGTATTTACTTTGGTAATATCATGCATGGCCTCAAAATGTTGATTATTTTATTAAAGCAGTGCCAGAAGCAATATGACAAAAGATGCGTTATGAAATATTTAACACTTATTATTATTAATGATAACCAATATTAAACGAGAAAGTCATCTTTAAAATTAATTTAGACAATGTAGAAATACAGTGTATTCATGTAAAATGAACTGTTAAAATTATTTACTTTAAATTAATTTGTACAATTGACTGATTTTTCAAATTTGAATTTAAATGTGATTATGATGTCACCATTTCAGGTGTGCCGTGAACGCCACGCCCCAGAAAATGTCCGATGCAGCCGTTGAAGTGGAGAGGTTTATAGGGAATATAGCAGGAAACAGGAAGGACCGTAAACCTGTCAGGCCAACCATTGTGGAGGTGAGAAGTCATACTTTTTCTTTTTTTTATAGAAGACAGTCTTTCACAATTAACTAAGCTTAATATAGCTAAATATAGTTATAATTAAAAACTAGCAATGGTCATGGCTTTAAATCCCAGGAAATTCATGTACTGATAAAAATGTGCTTTAAAGGGATAGTTCACTTTGAAATAATTTTTGAAATGTTTTAGCTTACCTCAAGGGCATCCAAGATGTAGGTGTCTTTGTTTCCACAGTAGTTTCAATTTTGATATTTTTAGGTCAAACCGTTCTCATAAAATGGAGGTCTATGGTCACCACCTCAAAGAGCATGCACAGAGAAGTACAAATTAAACATGATTTAATGACTCGTAAGTGTAAGTACACATTGAGTCAAATAAGACGCCGAGGTTACGAGTCAGTGATGAAGGCTTAATATGGAAACCATCAATATAGAAGGACTGGTCCATCCTTTTGACTGAGGCTGGAGAGCCAATCACTAATGTCTCATTTTTATTATCATTTAATTTGAGGAAGTCAATGGACATCCAGTGCTTGATGTCCCTGATGAATGCAGTGAGTCAATGTACACTTTGGATAATCCAAAAAAGTAAAAATAATATATATTTTTCTATAGACCATTTCACAAGATGTAAACAACACTGGTCCAGAAGCACTTCCTGTTTCAGTTTGTAACTGTTTTCTTTATTTCACATGTAAAAAAAACATCTTAAAGATGTTTGTTTAACTTTTTGATTCAGTTTTAAATGTTCTGTTGGTTGTATTTTATCCCAGCTTTTATGTAGTGTTAAAAAACTGAAACAGGATGTGCTTCTGGACCAGTGTTGTTTGCATCTTATGAAATGGTCTATAGCAGTTTTATAGAGAGAAAACAGTGCTGTGAATGAGTTAAAGGCGAAGGGTTTTCGCTATCCTTGAAATCTTGTACATTTCAAAGACAGAGGGATGAGCATTTTTAATAAATAATAGGGTTTTTATCCCCACAAAACTGGATCAAAAAAGGATTTGGCTCAAAAGAACAATTCATTCACAAATCTGATATCATTGTTGTGTTTAGATGATTAAATCTGACCGTTTTGATTGGTTTGTTTATCCCATATAGAGAGCATTAGGTCCTAGTGCCGGATCAGCTGTGAGTCGTAAACTCATCTCAGTAAGTGCATTTGTACAACATTACAGCAACATTCATGTCATCCATCGGTTGCATTCTCACTGATCTCCTCTTCATCCCACCAGGAGCCTCATTTTAAACCCTGTCAGATGAAGACGTACTTCCAGCTTCCGTTTACTGTGAACTTTCTCAGCGAGTGTGTGCGTACGGTCCCGTTCTCACACGCCGACTATGCCAGGTACAACAAACACACTCATACACTTCTGTAAAAAGATGGTCATTATTTCAGTTAGCCTAATATCTGGTTGGATTTGCATTGAGAGATGATCTTATGTAAAGTACCCCATGCCAATCTCTTGTTATGGTGAAGGATACGTGATGTGATGTGATGTGGGGCTATTTTAATTCCAATGGCCGAGGAAACTTTATCAGGATGCATAGTATAATGGATTTGCCTGCCTCTATGGGAATTTAACATAGGGATGTCCTGACTCATGCCCCCTGTATTTTAAGGAAGAACATTTATTTATTTGCGATAGATTATTAATTCACAAAGAAAATTGGTCTCCTTAAAGGTTGGAGTTTTCCTAATTTTTTAAGGTATTATAATCTTTTTTTTATTTTTATTCCACTTTCTAGTCAACTTTAGCATGGGTGTGTTCATGGCAGCATTTGTGATTTTTATATTTAGACCGTCAAATCGCTATTACAGTTTTATTTTGATTGATCGTGCACTCATTTACAGTTATCCATATGTCTGTCTGTCTGTCTCAGTTTGTGTATTTTAGGAAGGATGATGACTGCTAAGTTCCTCCATGGAGAGATCCGTGAAAAGGGCGGGGCTTATGGAGGCGGGGCCAGAATGGGAGGAGGTGGCCTGTTCGCATTTTATTCCTATAGGTGTGTATGATGCATTTCATTAGATCTGACACAATGTTCTGTTTAGTGTGTATGCTTTATTTATGTGTCTGTCCATCCATCCATATAACTATTATCTGGTTGTCTTGTGCAATCTCAGAGATCCAAACTCCACCCAAACGTTGTCGGCTTTCCGTGGCGGAGTAGAGTGGGCGCGAGCGGGAAGGTTTACCCAGCAGGATATCGACGAGGCCAAGCTCTCAGTTTTCTCTGCCGTTGATTCACCTGTTGCTCCCTCAGATAAGGGTCAGTCATTAGAGCACATCACTGAATGGTCTTTTGATGCTGATGGATGTTTTAGTTTCTTTCTGTGTAATTTTGCTGTAGTTGGATTTAATTTACATTCTTGAATCTGTGGATATATGGTGTAAATGTTCAGATGTGTCGAATGTGTTCTTGGATATTTGTTTTCTGGTTCACAAGGACCTTGTAATTGTGCTGCAGGTTTGGGGCGTTTTTTGAACGGCATTACAGACGAAATGAAGCAAAGACACAGAGAGAGACTGTTCGCTGTGACCGACAAGAACCTAATTGACGTCGCTGGCAGGTAAAGAGACATTAATGTACAGTAGGGTCCAAAAGTGATGTCAGGGGGATGTTTGTTTTTATCACCCAGCAAAATACGTGGAAAATCATTAAAACATTTTTTTTTTAACATTTTAAATACAAGTGAAAATATGGGTTCCCACGGGTTTTTAAAATCCTTGAAAGTTTGTGAATCTGAAAAAAAAAATTCAAGGCACTGGAAAAATATAGATTGAAAAAAAAAGTGCAAGAAATTTTCTGGAAAGAAATCCACATTATTTGTACTTTATAAAAATAATTAAAATATTTATTTAATATTATAATATAAATATTTTGCTAATATTCACGGTCTATCATGCATACTATATAAGAGTGAGGATGTCGATTATCTTAGGCTGGATGTCATTTTTGACCACTATTGTAATTATCTAATAAAATTAATTTGAAATAATAAATTAATTATTAAAAATAATATTAATGTTTGAGTGCTGGTGTGATATTTCTATTTGGATAAGATCGTATGTACCTATTTTTAACATATTTTGATTTATTTTTTTACAGGTATCTAGGTATTGGCCAGCAGACATGTGGAGTGGCTATTTTAGGCCCGGAAAATGAAAGCATCAAAAAAGACCCGTCCTGGGTGGTCAAATAGACGTTTTCCCCTCTGTTCTTGTTTTTAGGATTGTGAAAGACACGCACACTCCTGGATCACGCACAAATCAACAGTGTTTTCCTCATTACAGGAGTCATCTTGATGAACTGAAGTGCTCCTAAACAGTCAAGTGCTGAGAGGACCTGAATTAAAGTACCACTTATTAGGCCAGCAAATCTACTTTTGTTTACACTGCACATTGTTTATGGTGGACTCAAAAACAGCTCATATGATAAAAGTGTAGTTTGAGTCTGAAACTTATAAAATAGAAAATGATTATTTATTAGATGTATAGAATTATTATAAATTTCATCATGTTTAACTAGAATGGAAAACCTTTTCTATTAAAAAAAGTAAAAAAAAAATGTAATCCTTTTTTATATATACTAAATCCTTATCCATTTTTTTTTACGTTATTATCTTTTTTCATTGTTATGGCACGAAACTTGGTGAATGTTTAGGCACTTGCTATCTGAGCGCGCAAACAAAATAAGGACATGATTTATAAAGGTTAAATGGTCTTGAAAAAAATAGTCACCTATATTGTTCGAGGTCAAAAATGGCTGAAGTGGAATTGAATGGGAGGAGAATTTTATCTAGTGGAAACCTTTGGTACTGCACCCCAACAAAAAAAATCGTAATGAGAGCTCAATTTTTTGAGATATCAAGCTCAAATTTGTATGCATTTTTGTTAATAGACTTCTATAAACTTCAATTTTAGTTTAACTTTTTTCACTTAAGCAATAATCTGTCAAGTGTCTTTAAAAAGAGAACAAATGTAAGTCTGTGCTCCAAAGCATTCAAGAATTGTGAGAGTTTGAGTTGGAAATTAAATTTTTAGGTGGGCAACTGGTAATAAATGGATCATAACTATTGCAGAAATATACTTTAGTACCATAAAATCCCATAAAAATACAAAATAATAGAGTATTATCAAATTAAAACATAATATATTTTATTGAAATAAAATAAAAATCAGTAATTTGGACCACCACACAGCACCAGAGGGTTAAATGTTTTAATTTGGATTGTGAACAACTGCTCAAGACAAGCCTTTTTCATTCTAAAGGGAGTTTATGCAGTGCTAGTAGCATATACACGTATGTATACATTGTGACAAAAACACTGAAACAATATCTGCTTTGGTACCCATAACATAGCAGCTTCATTAGGAAGACTTCATTCAGACTCCTTTTCATCTAAAACAAGGTGCAGTTGTGGGATTACGCCACTACAAGCCAGTGGAGTGGATCGTTAATTTAATCAATGAAAATAAGCTCTATTAGAATAAATATAAATATGGAAATCTTGCATATTAACAAAATATACCACTTGGCCCCATTTAAGGGATAAGCTAACCGTTTGTGCATGTGGATTGTCAAACACTGATCTAGAACATTTAAAGGAGTAATTCACTTTTGCTGATAATTTGCTCACCCCCATGTCATCCAAGATGTCCATGTCTTTCTTTCTTCAGTCGAAAAGAATTAAGGTTTTTGATGAAAACATTCCGCAATTTTTCTCCATATAATGCATAATAATCTTTTTCCGAGTCATTTGGTTCATTCAACGAACGAAACGAACGAATTAACTCAGAAAAAGATTCGTTCATTCTGTTGAACGAGTTCGAACAGGAGAGTCACGGACGTGCATCACAGTACAGAGCAAGGCAACCATTTGAGCTTATAAAACTTAAACTTTGTTATTTATTTATTAAATGAGCGATCGTTTCGCTAGATAAGACCCTTATTCATCGTCTGAAATCATTTAAAGCCCTTTGAACAGTTTGCAGTTTGCACTGAATGTGTCTTTTGGACCGTGAATGAAGTCCATTTATGGAAAAAATCCTGGAATGTTTTCATCAAAAACCTTAATTTCTTTTCGACTGAAGAAAGAATGACATGGACATCTTGGATGACATGGGGGTGAGTAAATTATCAGCAAAAGTTTTTTTCAAAAGCGAACTACTCTTTTAAGGATTTTGTGGCTATACGTCTATGGTCGCGCTTTAAAGTGAACTTTACATGGACTGTATGATTATGTGTCCAGGTCAAGACTGATTGCTATGGAATCACATTTATACTTGCGAGACAACTAGGTTTTACTTGGACTGATTTTACATAGCAGAGCTGTCTTTAGCTCTCGGACGGACGATGTGTTCAAGCTGGCCCGCATCGGACACGTCGTAGCTGGTTTTGTACTTGGCCAGGATCTTCATGAGTGGACGCAGTCTGAGCCACCACTGTTCCTTCGGGATCCTGTGACTGGAAAAGAAATAGCAGCAGGTTAATCATGTTAAAATGTTAAAGGGAGCATATCATGTAAAACAGGATTACTTTTTCTCCTTGCTCTTTGAGTCATGCCATGAGAAATCAAAAATAGCCTTGATCTTTTGACATATAAAAGGTCTTCGTACCATTAAACATCCTGCAAATTTCAGACTAGAAATGTCCTCCCTATAAACAAAGCATGTCTTAAACCAAGTCCAAAAGTCGGGTTTTATATGGAGAATTTTTTTCTTACTCGCATGCAATGACGTTTCTGTTAGGCAATCATATGAGTGGCCGTTACCGACAAGCTTTAAAGGAGCCGCCACTTTATAAACTAAAATAACTTCCGGCCAAAAGAACATATGGATTTGACTTAAATCTAAAGCACAACTTAAATATGAATGTTTTAAATATTTTATATTAATATATATTTTTTATGGATAGATGCACTTTTATGATGGATAGATGCACTTTTAATGGGGTTTCGGGTATATTTCATAGACATTTTAATTAAAGTTCCTGTCGTGATAAACTATTTTACTGCACTCAGAGGGGCCCCCTGAGTCCGTGGTACCAAGCGCCGTCCCAAAATTCCACCGTCCATGAACCCATTATTTTTATAATGGCATAAATTCTACGTGGGATCTCAATATCTCAGCTCTGGAAGGGTCTAGAGCCTCTATTTTTGCTCTCAGGTCTAAGTCCCATGGTCCTCTATCAGAATGTAGAGTTTCAAGAAGATCAGAGACACTCAAAATTTCGACGAAAAAAAAAAAACGAAAGGGGTAACACTGTCGTTTTTTTTTTCGGGTCGAAATTTTGAGTTTCGATATCTCAGCTCTGGAAGGGTCTAGAGCCTCCATTTTTGCGCTCAGGTCAAAGTCTCGCGGCCCTCTATCATAATCCAGAGTTTTGAGAAGATTGGAGAAACTTGATTTTTCGCCCGAAAACGAAAAAAAAAAACGTAAGGGGTAACACTGTCGTTTTTTTTTCGGGTCGAAATTTTGAGTTTCGATATCTCAGCTCTGGAAGGGTCTAGAGCCTCCATTTTTGCACTCAGGTCAAAGTCTCGCGGCCCTCTATCATAATCCAGAGTTTTGAGAAGATTGGAGAAACTTAATTTTTCGCCCGAAAACGAAAAAAAACGTAAGGGGTAACACTGTCGTTTTTTTTTTCGGGTCGAAATTTTGAGTTTCGATATCTCAGCTCTGGAAGGGTCTAGAGCCTCCATTTTTGCACTCAGGTCAAAGTCTCACAGCCCTCTATCATAATCCAGAGTTTTGAGAAGATTGGAGAAACTTAATTTTTCACCCAAAACGAAAAAAAACGAAAGGGGTAACACTGTCGTTTTTTTTTCGGGTCGAAATTTTGAGTTTCGATATCTCAGCTCTGGAAGGGTCTAGAGCCTCCATTTTTGCACTCAGGTCAAAGTCTCACAGCCCTCTATCATAATCCAGAGTTTTGAGAAGATTGGAGAAACTTAATTTTTCGCCCAAAATGAAAAAAAACGTAAGGGGTAACACTGTCGTTTTTTTTTCGGGTCGAAATTTTGAGTTTCGATATCTCAGCTCTGGAAGGGTCTAGAGCCTCCATTTTTGCACTCAGGTCAAAGTCTCACAGCCCTCTATCATAATCCAGAGTTTTGAGAAGATTGGAGAAACTTAATTTTTCGCCCAAAAATGAAAAAAAACGAAAGGGGTAACACTGTCGTTTTTTTTTCGGGTCGAAATTTTGAATTTCGATATCTCAGCTCTGGAAGGGTCTAGAGCCTCCATTTTTGCACTCAGGTCAAAGTCTCACGGCCCTCTATCATAATCCAGAGTTTTGAGAAGATTGGAGAAACTTAATTTTTCGCCCGAAAAAAAAAAAAACGAAAGGGGTAACACTGTCGTTTTTTTTTCGGGTCGAAATTTTGAATTTCGATATCTCAGCTCTGGAAGGGTCTAGAGCCTCCATTTTTGCACTCAGGTCAAAGTCTCACAGCCCTCTATCATAATCCAGAGTTTTGAGAAGATTGGAGAAACTTAATTTTTCGCCCGAAAATGAAAAAAAACGAAAGGGGTAACACTGTCGTTTTTTTTTCGGGTCGAAATTTTGAATTTCGATATCTCAGCTCTGGAAGGGTCTAGAGCCTCCATTTTTGCACTCAGGTCAAAGTCTCACAGCCCTCTATCATAATCCAGAGTTTTGAGAAGATTGGAGAAACTTAATTTTTCGCCCAAAAATGAAAAAAAACGAAAGGGGTAACACTGTCGTTTTTTTTTCGGGTCGAAATTTTGAATTTCGATATCTCAGCTCTGGAAGGGTCTAGAGCCTCCATTTTTGCACTCAGGTCAAAGTCTCACAGCCCTCTATCATAATCCAGAGTTTTGAGAAGATTGGAGAAACTTAATTTTTCGCCCAAAAATGAAAAAAAACGAAAGGGGTAACACTGTCGTTTTTTTTTCGGGTCGAAATTTTGAATTTCGATATCTCAGCTCTGGAAGGGTCTAGAGCCTCCATTTTTGCACTCAGGTCAAAGTCTCACAGCCCTCTATCATAATCCAGAGTTTTGAGAAGATTGGAGAAACTTAATTTTTCGCCCAAAAATGAAAAAAAACGAAAGGGGTAACACTGTCGTTTTTTTTTCGGGTCGAAATTTTGAATTTCGATATCTCAGCTCTGGAAGGGTCTAGAGCCTCCATTTTTGCACTCAGGTCAAAGTCTCACAGCCCTCTATCATAATCCAGAGTTTTGAGAAGATTGGAGAAACTTAATTTTTCGCCCAAAATGAAAAAAAACGAAAGGGGTAACACTGTCGTTTTTTTTTCGGGTCGAAATTTTGAATTTCGATATCTCAGCTCTGGAAGGGTCTAGAGCCTCCATTTTTGCACTCAGGTCAAAGTCTCACAGCCCTCTATCATAATCCAGAGTTTTGAGAAGATTGGAGAAACTTAATTTTTCGCCCAAAATGAAAAAAAACGAAAGGGGTAACACTGTCGTTTTTTTTTTCGGGTCGAAATTTTGAATTTCGATATCTCAGCTCTGGAAGGGTCTAGAGCCTCCATTTTTGCACTCAG